TTTCTTTCTTCCTTTAGCTGATACTGAGTGCTGGCCATGAATCAGGCCCTGAGCTGGTCCCTGGGACTGTCAGACACTGTGCAAACACACGGCTGCCATGCTTCCTGCCGGTGGGAGGGGCACATATTGGTACATGATTGGTTCTGGGAAGGTAACAAACCGGGATCCTAATTTTGATTGGAAAGACTTCCCAGGGGAAGGACATTTGAACCAAGATCGGAAGGATAAGGAGGCATTAACCAGGCAACTTGGGGTGGGAGACAGTTTAGGCAGAGGGAAAAGCTTGTGCCAATGCTCTTTGGTGGAAAGAAAAATATTCAAGAAATGGAAAGGCCAGTGAGTGGGAGGCGAGGGCTGAGAAAGAGGTGAAATGTGGCCTCAGATGAGGCAGGGAGATGGGAAGAGGCTGAGGAGGCGGATGGGGCCGGGGAGGCGGAGGAGGCTGGATAGCACATGGCCAGGAAGACTGTGTTAGTCTTTCTAGGCATCTCCTTGCTGTTTAAACTGCTTTCTACCAGATTCTCTCTCTTTAAACCCTCTCCCATCCTGAAGTCCTCATTGTTTCACATGTAGAAAATTAAAATAGGGACCCTTAGTGCGGTTGAAAAGTTCTGACTTGGTCAGCGGGTCCTCGGTGTTTGCGAGGGAAGATGGCCGAGCAGGTGCCCAAGTCTGTGCTGTTTGCATGTCTGGGTAACCTCTGTCGGTCACCGGTCGCAGGAGCAGTTTTCAGAAGACTTGTAATTGATCAAAACATTTCCGAAAATTGGAGGATAGACAGTGCAGAGACATCCACAGATGAAACAGGAACCTCCTGATCATCAAGGGCGGGATTGGGTGACGAAGATGGTGTCCCCATGAATCACAGTGCCCCCCAGGTTACTAAAGACTTTGCCACATTTGATTATATACTATGAATGGATGAAAGCAATCTGAGAGATTTGACTAGAAGAGGTAATCAAGTTGAAAACAGGTGCTGTGCTTTGTCTGCCTGGTGATATCCTGCTCATCTCTCAAGCCGCAGCTCACCCCACCTCCTCTGGGAAGCCACCCCACCCCCTCAGGCCCAGGTGCTGGCCCCTCTTTGCAGGGTGCATGATTCCCTCTGGTGCATTTATCCCACCTTCCTTCTTCCTTGGCTTGTAGGCTTCCTCTGCTAGACTTTGAGCCCCTTGAAGGAGGGGAGTGGGGCTCATTTAACTATTTATTTCTGGTGCCACATGCCTGGACCCCCATGTTAGATGGTTAATAGTGTTTTTGTTTTTTTGTTTTTTTTTAAAATGAGATGGTAGAAGCAGGTGAGGGGAAAATGAAACTCCATCTGGAGAGCCTATATATAGGAACCATGGGAAAGGGGTCTGGCTTCCAGGACCTTGTTGTGCTGCCTGGATCTTTTCTTCTAATAGTGATCACAGGTCTCAGGGCAGCCTCTCACTGTCCTCACCTGCCACTGCCATCCATTTAAAAGGGCAGGTGCATGCAGGGCAGGCAGAGTCAAGCCTAAATATACCAACCTTCTAGCAGTGTTTTCCACATGTTAGCATGCATCACCTGGAGGGCCGGTTAAAACACAGATCACCAGGCTCCACCCCAAGACTTTGTCAGTAAGTCTGGGATGGAGCCGAGAATTTGTATTTCTTACAAGTTCCCAAGTGATGCTGATGGTGCTGGGCTGGGGACCACTCTGAGAATCTCTCTTCTAGCAAAAGGCTTTGCTCTAAAAGTAGTTACTCTCTGTGGTGTTGGGAAGCAGATATGGGAATCTTTTTGCTTCATTTTGGTTTTGCAGGTTCCAAGGACTATTGGTATGAGATTAATATGGATAGTTACACCAGATTCTACACACTTACCTCCTCCCCACTCCAGGCTCTTCCACAAAGTGTTTCTGTGTTCATTCAGCAACTATTCAGTGAATATGTTTTGAAGGTTTAATGCGTGCATGGCTACAATGAGGTGGAGTTACTGATATCAAGATGAAATCGATGTGAAGCTGTCCTTAAAGAGAGGCCCTTTAGTACAGATACAGTTAATTCAAGGAGTCCAAAGAAGAAATGCCTACTTGGATGGGTAGAGAATCTCCATCATTGGACTTGGCCCAGGGCAGCCTTCTAGAGTATTCATGGGAATAAAACGATTTGATAGATAATTAGACCAATGGTATTGAGATCCTGAAATTCTGTGATTAAGGAAGACAGTGGTAATTGACATAACAAAATGGCAGAAATTAAATGCTGAGGGGTTTATAGTGGGATATCTGCAGGCAGCCGAGGTTTCCCCATGTAAATACTGATGTTATCGTTCTTATTTTAATCAACATTTATTCCTTACCAACAGTATACTTGGTGATGAAATGGATTTATATCTAATGACCCCATAATTTGCTGTTCATTGACCTCATGACATTTAAAAGGTTAACTAGAAAAAGCCACAAGCAAGCCCAGAGTATGCCCCAGGGACCTCTTTAGGTCCCACTTCCTGAGGCAAATGGAATTGAGATGTGTAGTACCATTTAATTTTTTTTTTTTGCAATATTTACAGCAGGGAGAGGGAGATAATGTAAGTAGCCAATTGTAAGACTTAAATGTATAGTCACTAGGTCACCAGCTTGAATCTCAGACTCTCACCTTACTAAGAAAGTCAAACCAATCGCCACATTCTGTAGTGTGAGGCAAGGGTCCAAGTCCCCCTTTCAGGAGCGTTTGGTACTAAGGGCATGGCAGACCAAGCCGACGCCTCTCAGCCCTCACTGCCATCTATTGGGATCTGGGTACTAAGCGAGATAGTTTACAAATATGACTTATAATTCCTTTAACCATCCTTCATGGTAAGTATACTGTCATCATTTTCAGATCAGAAAGGAGGCACAGAGAGATTATATGTCTTGTCTAATTTCTCTCAGCAAAACTCCGCAAGTCAACATAACCGTAGGTGCAAAATGCAATATTAGTGAACAGAGTGCTGCAGTGTGTCAAATGGATGGTACACTCTGACCAAATGGAGTGCATTCTTGAACCAAGAATGCTTCCGTAGTAGGAACCATTAGGAAATCAACATAATTCACTATCAACAAACCAGAGTCATATATGAGTAGGTGCTGAAAGGGCAGTCAATAGAATTCTATAATAAAGCTCTAAAGCAGGAATAAGAGAAACTACTTAAATTTGATAAAGACTAAAAATTGGCCACATATTTTATTCAAGTAAGTGAAACACTAAATCCAATGGCATTAAAATAGGAAAATCGTGCTTTTGCTATTTTTAAGTGTCGGGTTAGTGATTCTTACAAACTAATTAAGCTAAGAAGATAAGTAGTTTGTACAAATAAGAGAAAGAAGAGATGACATCTGTTTTTTTTTTTTTGCTAATGGTTGTAATACCTGAAAAAACTAAAGGGAATTTAGTAAGAAAAGAAACCCTATGAGAAATAATAAAGGAATTGGGTAAGATGGCTGTAAACAGATCTTCTCTATACGATGGAGGTCACAGAGCCGGTCAACTTGGGCACCTGGAACTAGCATTTGAACCCAGGTCTGACGATGCAGTCTGTACTCTTTTACCTTATGAAATATTCACACTCACTACTATAACAGAGTCATGTGAGAAGGGTTTCTTAAAGCTCACAACTTTAGATTTTCCCGCAGATCAGGTGGGGTTGGCTCTGCTGGGGAAAGGTGGGGACCTGATGCGAGGGTTGGCATAGGATTTTTATTAGAAGAACCTTGAGGCTTCTGCTACCAGCAGTGTCATTCCTCTAAGGCAGCGGTTCTCAACCTGTGGGTCGCGACCCCTTTGGGGGTCGAACGACCCTTTCACGGGGGTCGCCTAAGACCATCGGAAAACACATATAAAATTACATATTGTTTTTGTGATTAATCATTATGCTTTAATTATGTTCAATTTGTAACAATGAAAATACATCCTGCATATCAGATATTTACATTACGATTCATAACAGTAGCAAAATTACAGTTATGAAGTAGCAACGAAAATAATTTTATGGTTGGGGGTCACCACAACATGAGGAACTGTATTAAGGGTCTCGGCATTAGGAAGGTTGAGAACCACTGCTCTAAGGACTGAGATATCATTGAGTGAGGTTGGGGGTGGTGATCTGGTCTTAAGTTATTCAGCCAGACTTCTCAGGTACTGAGCATTTAACCAATAGAACTGCCCCCCTTTCTTCTTGGACATATGTATGTTGCTTATTGCCCTTGTCTCAGAATGTCCATATAAGTATTGCTTGCAAAGACATGTTTTTAGAGATTTGGGGTATTAGGCTGCCAGGGCATCAAGGGCATAAGCTCTTGGTTGCCCCACATCTACCAAACATGCCTTGGCTTCATGGTTTCCATGGTGGGAGTGGAACTCGAAATCACTGAGTGATACATCAAGAATGTTATCCAGATCAAGCTTTTCTACTTTAGGCACAGTCAACTACAGGAAGGTAGATGAAGTAATCACAGGAATCCAAGGGACCTGGCTTCTAGTGGCTCTGCCACGACTAGCTGTGTTCCCAGGCAAATCACTTAGCCTTGCTGGGCCTCACTTGCTCTGTCTGTGCCATGGGGTGTTGGACTGGTGTTGAACTCCCAGTCCAACCTTCAAAGTTAAAATAATCATCACAATACCATGTTCTAATTGCATAGAGATTATCTCATCACCAACAACCCTGTGAGGTAAGTACTATTATTCCATTTTTCCTCCGAAGAAGCAGGCACAGAGAGGGTAAGTGACTTGCTTAGGGTCTTACAGCTAGGAAATGATGGAGCTCTCACACAACTTTCATCTTCTACTTCCGTGGTTTTGCTTTACATGGACCCATGTTGTTATAGTGGTTTTGGTCCTGTCCAGGGAGTAAGGGATTGGGGGTGACAAAAACTTTCTAACGGAACCCCAGCTCAGGAATGGATGGATGGGAGTCACTACCTGGGAGAATGATGGCAGTGGCTATGGAGGTTGCTGACATTTATGTTTTTCCTTTCTTTCCTCTTTCCTCTCTAGTCTGTGGCAAGCGCTACAAGAACCGACCAGGACTCAGCTACCACTACGCTCACACTCACCTGGCCAGCGAGGAGGGGGATGAAGCTCAAGACCAGGAGACCCGGTCCCCACCCAACCACAGAAATGAGAACCACAGGCGTGAGTTCCCAGTTTTGGGTTGGGGCAGTTATGAAGTGGGTGGGCAGGGCCGTGGAGCATTCCTTTAATTACCTGTGGCATCTTCTGGTAATGACCGTTGGTTGGTCTCAATCTCCTGTGGCGAGTTGGCTCTTTCAACCCAGCCTCAGCTGCCCTTGTGGGGTCAGCTGAGTCTGAGGCTGAGGGTGACTGGGCTGGGGTGGCACAGCAAGCTCTGCGGCCTGAGGAAGGAAGGTGAGTGTTCAGCCAGAAGGGAAATGTCCTTCCCTGGCCATTGTCAGATGCCAGAGCTGCTCTTTTCCTCAGCTTCAGATGATCCCTTCACAGCTGCTGACCCGAGCATATCCCTCGGCTATGTCAGTTCATACAGATACTCCAGATGTCTCCTTGGCCACCAAGAGATGTAGAAGATTCTTGATTTATTGTCTTGCCTGTTATAGGGTCTACAATTTTGGCATAGGGCTCTCCTGCCTTAGAAATGCTGCCCTGGAGCCTCCATGATCAGCAAACATGATCTGGGTGCACTTGATATTTGGGATCTTGGGCTCAAAGACCCCAAATGATTCCTAAGATTTGTTTTTTCGTTTTTATTCTTTCTTTCCTCAACACCCAGTTATGATTTAGGAAGTCAAAAAGGGCTTAGCATTCACCTTTTGACTTCCCTCTTCAGCATTCCTTATGGGATGAGATAATGGAACCTTGAGGACTTACTTCAAGATGTGGGCATTCTAAGATCATTAGGTAAACAATAACTGTGGACATGCCATGTGTTTTCTGTTCTTTTTTTTTTTCATAAGATTGGCTGACAGGCGGTCTTAAAGTGAATAATTCAGTGTAATTAAAGGGATCAGACAGACCTTTAAAAATATTCAGACTCTAGGATTTGAGAGTGATTCCTCTACATTTCAGTCAATTGATGTTGATTGGCTGCCTTCACCAAATATTTGAAATAATTAACACAATCCTTGGCCAAGACCTTTCTTTGGATTTGTGTGGGTTTTTACCTAACCACCACCCCACCCTTCCCTTGTCACATTGCCTTCTGTGTCATTATGCTCAGGCTGCCATAACAAAGTACAACAGAGTGGGTGGCTTAAAGGACACAGATTTATTTTCTTACAGTTCTGGAGGCTGAAGTCCCAGATCAATGTGCTGGCAGGGTTGGGTTTTCCTGGGGCCTCTCTCCTTGGCTTGTGGATGGCTGCCTTCCTGTTGCCTCCTCACATGGCTGTTGCTCTGTGCATGTGCACCTGCTGTCTCTGTGTGTCCATATTTCCTGTGCTTATAAAGACACCAGTCAGATTGGATTAGGGCCCTCCTAACAGTTTCATTTGAGCTTTTCTTCTTTTTCTTCTTCTCCTTCTTCTTTTTTTTTTTTAATGCTTTATCCACTGAACCAAACTAGCTAGGGCCTCAGCAACTTTTTTAAAAAATATATTTTATTGATTTTTTACAGAGAGGAAGGGAGAGGGATAGAGAGTTAGAAACATCGATGAGAGAGAAACATCGATCAGCTGCCTCCTGCACACTCCCTACTGGGGATGTGCCTGCAACCAAGGTACATGCCCTTGACCGGAATCGAACCTGGGACCCTTGAGTCCGCAGGTTGACGCTCTATCCATTGAACCAAACCGTTTAGGGCTGAGCTTTTCTTCTTGAATCACCTCTTTACTGGCCCTACCTCCAAATATAATCACTTCCTGAGGTATTGGCTTCAACATATGAACTGTGGGGGACAGAGATCGCCCCCTAAAACCTTTCATTCTAACTTTCAGGGTTCCAGACTTTTGTGTTTTCTTACCTAGTGTTGTCGTATGGACAGAGCTGGACAAGCAGGGCAGGAAGGCCTGAGGAGCTGCAGTGCCAAAGTCTGTCTTCCCTTTGGGGTGAGGTTTCCTTGGGCCAGTCAGCCTTGCCTTTCAGAAAGGAAAATATTTGCATTTCCATGTCTCTCCTCTTGTCCCTTCTCTCATCTGAGCCAAGGTGTAGCTATGGTCTTCTATCAGGAGGAGGTTGAGAGTGACTTTGATTGGGTTGCTGTCGGGAAAGCATTTCTTGGCCACGGTTGCTCTCTCTAAAGTATTTATTAGGTTGCCATTATTTCTCACTCCTCCAGTGCTGGCTTATCTCCTTGACATCTCCTCTCAAAGGCCAGGCATTTGTTCCTGTGTGTAGGTGCTTTCCTCACACTAAGGGTCTGGAATACTTCTGTCTGTCTCTTTTGTGTGTGCACAGTGATGGCCACAGTGGGGGAAGGCTCTGATGGCCCCTCAGGTACACTGCAGGCCCTTAGCTCTTTTTGTTGACTTTGGAGATGGGCCCTTGCATAGTTTTCTCTGTCCCCCAGGATTTCCTCACACACTCTCCGGGGTCAGTGTCTCCTGCTTCCTCAAGTCCTCACCTTGAGGCCAGACGGCTTTGCTCGGCGAGGAAGCTGTGTCTTCCCTCCTTCCTTCCTTCCAGACGGAGACACTTCCTAACAGATCTCATCCTGACACTTGTTCTCCTCTCCCTGTGGGTCTGTTAGTGAGCACACTTGCTCCAGCCCCTCTGAACCTTTCTCTTCCTTCCCTCCTTGCTGATGAGGAATTGGGTTCTTCAAAAGGACCATCTGGCCCTAGCTGGCTTGGCTCAGTGGATAGAGCGTTGGCCTGCGGACTGAAGGGTTGCAGGTTTGATTCCGGTCAAGGGCACATACCTGGGTTGCGGGCTCAATCCCCAGTAGGGGGCGTGCAGGAGGCAGCCGATCAATGATTCTCCCTCATCATTGATGTTTCTATCTCTCTCTCCCTCTCCCTTCCTCTCTGAAATCAATAAAAATATATTTTAAAAAAGAGGATCATCTGACAACCCAAGGATTTGAAACTGCAGAGACAGGAATAACTCTACCTGGGCTCCTCTGGGGCCTCCTCTCACAAGGAAGGTTCCAGAAGCCTCACAAACACCCTTTTCATGACATCTCTCAGTGCCCCCTTTGTGATTAACCTCAATTTGGCTACTGGGGAGGGTGGGGCAGAAAGGCCCTCAATGTCCACAGAAGCCGTCCTTTTCCTCTTCCCCCACTTCCTCGGATGAATCTGAGAGACAGCAGTTTTCCCCAGGTTCTCTGCACCACACAGGCCACCCGCCAGCGCGCTGCTCTGAATGTGTGCTCGGGTTCCTCCGCATTCCCCTGGCGAGCAGCCCCCAACCATTTTCTCGGGAGCACTAATTGCCGGCATCCTTAATACCCAGTCATTAGCTGCTCCCCCTGCTTGTGGTGGGGGTGGGCTCCCATCCGTCCTGCCCCTAAATGCCACTGGGGCTGTGTGGTGAATCGAATGTGACAGCTCTGCAGCATCCTCAGGTCTCAGCTCTGTGATCCTCCCTTGGCAGGGCTGTGGAGTGGGGGAGGGAGGCAGGGGAGCTTAATCCTCGAGGCTAATCTGCAGTCCCTCAGGAACCGGCCTGGACGCTGGACGCCAGTGTGGTGGGAATGCTGACTTTTCCCTCTTTAGCTGTAGCCTGACCCGAGCTGCTGGTGAGCACAGGCCTCTCAGAAAAACAGCCCTACAGACGCAGGCGTTTCTAGGGCCCTGGGCAGCGGCGTTTGCACCACCTGCAGCAGAGAGGCCTTTTGACTTTGGTCCTCCTGCTGTCCCTCGCTGCATCTCCCCCAACTGTGTCTCCAGCAGAGCCCATTGCTCATCCCTGCGCCTGCTGCTGCTGAAAGGGCAGCGTGGAGCTGGCATTGACCTTCCCGCAGCCACGCTGCCCTGTGCTGCCAGCTCAGCATTGACTGCCATTCCTCCCGTCCTCCTGCCCCCTCCCAGCTGATGCTCTCTGTCCTTTGTTCCTCTCCTAGTCTCTCATTTTCTCCTGAGCACACATTTCTTGTCCTCCTGTAGGCTTGTCCCCTTTCCTCTGTGCCCTGGCCTGTCTGCCTCAACTACGGGCACCCCAGGGCTGCTAGGAGCTCCAACGCTCCCCTGGGGAGCGAGTGCTTTTCTGATGGGGTCTTCCCCGCCTGAGCTGCTGCCCTTCTCTCCCTGTGGGAGGCTGGATTCTTCTTTCTTCCTCCATTTCTCTTACTACCTTCATCTTTTTATAAATGAAATCACTGTGTGTGTGTGTGTGTGTGTGTGTGTGTGTGTGTGTGTGTGTGTGTAAGGGAGGGAGTGCTTGGGCGGGTAGGATTCTGAGAGGTGTCTCTCAGAAGCATTCTGTTGTGACTCTTTTAATGCCACTTTGGTAGACAGCCCCAGAGGGGCCACGGTAGCAGAAAGAGCACTAGATTAGAACTCCAAACTCCTTTGGCACAGGCTTACAAAGTCAAAACTCTCCCTGAATTTCTTTTTACCTTCTCTGTGCAATGGGAATCTGTTACAGACGATGTTTTTAAGGTATCTTGGCGTGGGTGTGAGCATTTATGAGCTCCTAAACCTGGATGGAAAAGCTATGTGAGTAAATTCAGTCTAATCCACTCATCTGTGCGTCCGTCCATCCATCCATCTACCCATCCATCCATCCATTGGTTTAGTAGCCATGCACTGAGTGCTGCCTTGTTCCCTGTCCTTGAGCAGCTCCCAGTCTTGCGTGGGCACGTGCACTAGGACACGTGCAGAGTGGGTGAGGGAGCAAAGGCTCTGAGGCACACACAGTACACGTCCACTCCATTGGGCTGGTGTGCTCTCAGGGCAGCAGCAGCACCTAGGACTTGTTGGAAATGCAGATTCTTGGCTCCAGCAGACCTCCTGAAACAGAGACTCTGAGGGTGGGGACCAGCAACCCGTGTTTCAAGAAGCCCTTCAGGGCATTCTGGTGCCACTAAAGCTTGAGCACCACTGCATTAGGGGATTTGCAGAGGCTTCACTAAGGAGGTGACATTCACGGTAGTCCTTGAGGAATGAGGACGAAGTATTCAGGAGATGGAGGTAACTGCATGTACAAAGGCAGGGAGGTATGAAGTAGCATGGCATATCAGACCATTGGGAATAGTTGGATCTGACGGCATTGAAAGG